AGATTTAGTCGAATTTCTTGTGAAGGAAAGAGGGGAAAGATGAAGATTTTAACAATAGAGAAGAAAGGAGAAGAAGAAGAGAGTAGGAAGTCAACCAGGATTGTGAAAATTAACCCTAGCCGCCCCCCTCTCATTATATGTATACTTAACTTAAAAAGATGAGATATTACAAGGATGCCCTTAGTAGGGCGACTACTAAAAGCTGAACAGTCACAACTTAGAAAAACATAAACTAATGGGCCTAAACCCCAACAACTTCCTAACTAAATAAAAACAAACCGGACCAACTCCATAGAGTCCAAATATACAGATAACCTCTAATGTTCCTACTCGTGTGACATCACTCCTGTGTATGCTACCTTCACCATCTTCATTATATATCCCACCACCATTAATTCAACCTTTCATATGTTTCTTTCTTCTACTTTGTCCTCAGCTATGGGTGTCGCCGTTTTCATTAGGGATGTAAACAGTTGGATTCGAATCAGGCTATATTGGAATTTGATCCGATAGAAAATGCATATTATATGAATTCAAATTTGAATCCATCGGATTTTCTAATCCCTGATTTGAGTTCAATTTGGATCATTTTATTAGATATCCGATAAGGATTTGTTTCAATTCAATATATGCAATATCTATCTATCTATCTATCTGTCTATATCTATATCTATATCTAAGCACGAACAATAGGAACAAGTAATAAGTGCACTAAGCATTTAAAAGTTACCTATATTGTAGATAATTCTTGTTTATTAAATTTGCTTATAAAATGAACTTTTTAGATTTTGTATGCTAAACTTACCTAAGAAACAACAATTTCAACCCATATAAAGATGACAATTTTCCCCATCCCTGTCGGATACCCGATTTCCCCGACCTGATGGGGTTGGGGATGGGGATTGCTTTGGAGGGGTAGGGATGGGGATGAGAAATGAAGTCCCCTCCCCGCCCTGACCCCGTATATATATTAAAAATTATTTATATTAAATATATATTATTTTATTTGTTTATTTATATTGTATATATCAAAATAAATCTAAAATATCATTTATATTTTAAAATTTTCCTTTATTTTAAGTAAATTTATTTCTAAAAATATTATTAATTAACAAAATTTGGGGATTTGGGTCCCCATAGGGAACCCATCTTTGTTGGGGATTGAGGATGGAAAACAACTTTTACCCCATCATGAAAGGAGATTTATTTCAAAATTGGGGTCAAGGACAAGGAATATGAACCTGCCCCGTTGGCATTCCTATACCTATATGCAGACCAGAGCAAACAAATTGTGGTAATTAACAATAACAACAAACACTTGAAAATACTTTGCTCCTACCTAGGTAGAGTTTAAGGTTTAGGGGTTTAGCATTTAGATTGGAAAATTAAAGGTGATCGGGCGTTTTTGTCCAATATGGTAGGATCCAAGTATTCCCCCTTGGACCCAATTTCAATAAATTGTATTGTCAACAATTATAAAAAAATCTTGGAGAAAACAATATACCATAAGCATATATAGAAATAAAGGGCTCATAATACGAGAAAATTAATCAACCAATATCATAAAATTGGTAACCAATTGATTAGGTTGTATTTATCACATTCTTGGTGTGGGGGGAGAGGGGATAGGATTAGCTTAAGGCAATAACTGTTCAACAAGTTGTGGAACCAATGATAACACTCCACACCCATCATAAATTACATGGGGCCCACAATCATTAATTAGACCTCTCAGTGTGGGCCTCATGTATTATATCTCTACCCTTTACATTCACGTGCACCCCCCCCCCCCCCCTAAAGAAATCTATCACTAGCTTGACCCAAAGCAAACCCTTGGAGCTTAAAATGGGAATCCAAAGAGTCAATTTATCTTACAAAGAGAAAAGAAAAGAAATAGATTGAAGAGATTGCATGACTTCCACTTTTTTTACAAATGGAGGATTCTAATCACTACAAAGGAATACTCAAAACATATATTTATAACTAGGGATAGGCATCAGGTAGGATACCCACGAAAATTTCCCTTCACACCCCAAACCCATTTAATTTATTTCCCCAATTTCCCAAACCTATCATCACATAAGTGAAATGTGATGTCCCACTTAAGATATATTTATTAGGGTGCTTTTCCATGGGGAAGGATTTAAATCCTGAGCCCTTTTTATTATATATTATTTCTTAAACATATAAGATATATTTATTAGGGTTTAACTATGATAGCAGAAAAACTTATTGTTGGAAGGGTTAGAATCCAAATTATGGATGGCCGAACCAGTTTTAATGGTTGGCCAAATTTCAAAAAAGTTTCTAACCCTACCAGGGAACCAATTTCCCTGAGATTTTGAATTTTGAAAATTTTGAATCGATCTTACATTGAACCAAACCAGATTTGAAAGCGAAAATAAACCAATTGTACTTGATACGGAGTCCAAAAATAGTATCTCCCAGAGTGGTAGTACACGCCCAAAATCAATCCAAAAAGCTGGCCACCAATCGAATATGGCACAGTGAATAAGAAGCCGGTTCAGTAACACTATTTTCTATAAAACTGCTATCCAACTACCTTGGATTAACTGAGATTTGTGAGCCTAATTTCCCCAATGTTTTTCTTGCAAAAACATAGTGGGGAAAATGATAAAAATCAGTTCTTTCAATGGCTAGGTCATGATAGGGTTTTTGAGAGAGAAGAGAGAAGATGAGAGAGCGAGTGAAGAGAAGAAGTTCTATTCGCCCTCTTCCTCCTAACCCCCTTATATGGAGCACTCTCCTAACCTAATTAGGAGACTATCCAAATTTGATTTGAACTTGTACTCTTTTAATAGATAAGCATTAACCTCTTAAGAGGACATGTGCTCCATACAACTAAACTAATCTCATTATTAATGGGCCTTTGGCCCATTTTCTTTAGTGGCTCACGTTCCTAGGTGTTGCATGGTCACTTTAGGCCTGATATTGTATGGCATGTGACCCCACAAAGGTCTCACACAAGTCCACAAGTGTTCGACCCCACTTCTAAAAGAGGTTAGGCTAAATTTGCTGCTCAGTGCAATGAATCTCTAAGCCAGCAATCAGCATGGGTCCAGTTTATGCCCAACATTTACACCTAAATGATCATTGGACTTAGCCACCCTATGAAGAACCAAGGATAATGGACTTATGTGAGATAAAGACCATTAAGTAATTAGCTCTGTAATAGTCTCTTACACTTAACCTCTTAGCCCATAATCATCAGAACACTGTTTACAGGGAAGGACCTCTCCCCTAACTGCAAGATACAGTGTTACATTCTCTGCTTGGATGGATACCAGGATTAAAACCTTTTGAAAACATTTTTCATAAAATAATAGTATAATAATGTATAAATATATTTTGCAAAACCAAATTTCAAACATAGATGAAATCCACTGCTGGTAGTTTAGGTTTCCATCAGTTTAGGTCTAGGGCATAACTAGAAATTGGTTTGGGTTTAGTTTTTCTTCCAAACACGCACTGCCTGTGCTTGGGGTCTAATCCTAGCAACTGAGACAAGCTGCTCCAATTGTTTGGTAGTATATGAATGCCAGCCTTGTCAACGTAAACTCCCCAAGTCTATCCAATGGTTGAAAACATTCTAAACTAACACGAGTTTTATAAGTGTCCAGTTTAAGGAGTAATACACAGAAAACATACTTTTATCAACATGAAACAATATTGTACTGTATTCATTTATAGATAAATATTCATGTACATCAACCTAATTGGAGCTATGGGCATACACTATCTAACACTTTTAACCAACCAACTGGTCTCATGAAAGTAGTAACGAATCAAATACTTTTTATTATTAAAATTTACGGGGCTTTTGATTGGTCAATGAAACTGTTCCAGTATTATGTATATGTCTATGTAGCACCATAGATTTTACCACATGCATGCATGCATACATATATGTATAGAGTATGTATAAATCAGGTTTGGGTCGTGCAAGGTACCCTAAAAACAAAACCCAAACCCTATAGAATTTTGATAAATGGGTCCTATTTATCACCGTTTTCCTTGAATAACAAGAAAACCTTAAGAAATGTGGTATTACTATTATATTCCAAGTAGAAGACCATGCCAAAATGTCTAATACAAATTCTTACCTTGAAATTCAAGGCATAATCTAAAACTCTGTTTTCCCTATTAGGAAACAAAGCAAATTCACCTAAAACAAATACATCAACTTCAATATGAAACTCAATTGAGTTTCAGACTACTACAAAAAAAAGGGTTTCAGACAATTGGATAATCGTAAAACAATTATTGGATATTCAGAAAATTAGCAAATCAAGTAAACCCTTCCATAATTATCCAATTATTGGATTTCTTTGCCAAATGGATCCATGAAAGACCATGAATAGACTTGAACAATTTGATCTCCTAGTGTGCTTTTCCATGGGTTCCTCTATGCCTCTATGTGAAATTTCAAAGTTGCATAAACTCATAGTTTTACTGTATTCTTCTTTGTCTTGTCGTTACGATATACCCAATTTATAAAATATTCCATGTGCCAAAAAAGAGAAATTTCACTTAAAATTGTCTGAAACTCTGAATATATCATTTACTGGGAAAATCTATGGTGCCGGAAAGACATGGTAATTCTACCTGATTGGTTGACACCCGTTGATTGGTCACAAATTTTTTTGGATGTCATGTCTTTCCGGTATCATAATCGAATCCACCATTTACCTGAAAATGAAAGCTCGACTCTTCAATTTATTTCCAATGACATCCTTATCTACTATTTTTGTTTCTCCAATTTTTATTCAGTCCCCACCATTTTCATCCCCTTCAAGTCCAGATTTGCCCTTAAATCCCTACACCATGAAATCCATCAAACATCCATCTATCCAATGGATTCTTTAATTTCCAGTTTCCAGTTAATTTCCCACTATAATTTCCATATTATAGTGAAGAAAATTAGAAAAGGAAATTTGCAAACTGTTTGTCTAAAATGGGATGTATTTTGATCTTGCCAGTGGCCTAGCTAGCTGTTTGAGATGGGTGATTGTAATCACATTCACATTTTGGAGCCAACAAATGAAAGACAATACCATATTTCCTTAGTGGTGGCTGATATCGAAAAAAAGTTGAAGGGTCCAGAGAGTGAACAACAATCCTCTGAACTTTGCATCTTCAGAGTCCCTAAGAACCTACGTAGGCTAAAAGAAGTAGCTTGTACTCCTAAGTTGATCTCAATTGGTCCCTTCTTTCATGAAGATGAAAGCTTAAAAGCCTCGGAAGAACATAAGCTGAGGTATCTTAAAGGTTTTCTAGGTCGAAGCACTAAAGGGATTAAAGACTGTGTGGAAACCATTGCAGAGCTGGAAGATAGAGCCCGAAAGTGTTATGCAGAAGAGATCCCCTTAGATGGCGAGAAATTTGTAAAGATGATGGTACTTGATGGCTGTTTCATCGTTGAGTTCCTTCTCAGATATCAAATTGTTGATCACAGACAGGAAGACGACCCCATCTTGAATACCATCTGGATGATTGATATAATGTCTGACTTGCTTCTACTTGAAAACCAACTTCCATTTTTTGTTCTTGACAAGATATTTGAACTACTAGAAGACGACGATGAAGAAAAGAAAGATGAAAAGTTACAGTTTCTCGATTTGGCCGTCAATACGTTTGGATATCTTTGGCCAAATGTAGTACCGCGTAAGAAAGAGAAATGTGAAGTGAAGCATCTGCTGGACTTAGTTCGGCAATTCTTTGTGTTGTCGTCCACTGACAGAAGCAGATCAAACTCACATCTAGATAAACAGCTTCAACGTTTCCCAAGTGCAAGAAAGCTCTTTGATGCTGGAATTGCTCTGAAAAGTGTTAGAAACAAGCGTTGGCTGAGCATAAGCTTTGCTAATGGATTCCTGAGAATTCCACGTATAACCATTGACGACACGACCAAATCTCTTCTGCAAAATCTAATTGCTTTCGAGAAGTATCATAGAGATTCCTTTCAAATGCACATAGCAGACTATGTAATGCTGATGGATCGACTCATTGTGACCTCCGAGGATGTGGAAGTACTCGAGAACTGTGGCATCATCAGAAACATGGCAGGAGACAATCGCAGCATAGTAAGCTTTTTTAACGCAATTGGCAAAGAAGTGAATTCGTTCTGCATGGGCTTGCATTTTCAGGATCTCTGTCGGGATGTAAACGAATACTATTGGAGGAGCCAGTGCAAATATGCAGCGCTTGCCTACTATCAGACTCACTTGCAGAGATGGATATTGATCTTGAAGAGAGAATATTTCAACAGTCCGTGGGCATTCGTTTCATTCTTAGCTGCAGTAATGCTCCTCGTTCTTACATTCATACAAACTATATACACCATGAAACCTAATTCCAATAAGGGCAACTGACATTCTCTTGATACATATTGACTTGTGGTACATCATTAATTGTCTCTACTCTCTACTCTCTAGAAGAAGTATGTATTTTCCATAAATAAAAACAGTCATCATCATCAAGTAGTGCTGATATAGGTTCTATTAATTTGTTTGCATTTGCACTGATGCAAATGTGAAGAGTACAAATGTAAAGAGTGTAAATTCCGGTTCACCTTTTGGTTCAGATTTTATTTTTGCTTTTATATTTATTTAAAAAAAGTAAAATGATGTGGTCCCACTTCATATGAGACAAAATGAAGATAAAGGAATGCTTATACATGCTGCCAATAATTCAAATTAGGATATGTAACTGAGGATATATTGGGTTTATATTCTGATCTGACACGAATTGATGGGGCAGATGTGGGTCATATTAAATTAAATTGCATCTGATATAGATTCTGTTTGTTTCATCAGTCAAATGTGGATCCAAATCTATATTCAGGATTAAAAATTTTTGGGCCTAGATTTAAATTAGCTGGATCTGCCCTATATCCAACATATACATGTCCCATGCGCAAATACGTGAAAAGATGCAAACTTTCCCCCAATTAGAGGTGACATACTTGGCTAGCACAACTCTTCTGTCTTACATCCCCTGTATTAATCTTCCCCAAACAAGATTCACAAGAAAAAAAAAAATCTTCGTAATAAGGAGCATAGGAATCTAGGTATTCGATCCTGGCCAGAAAAGCCCAATCATGAATGTCATTTACACACACAAAAGCCTGAAAAAAAAAGAAAGAGCTGGTAGAGAACTTAACTGTGGCCTAAATAACCCATATTTTATGGTTAGCTAGGGTGCTAAACATCATTTACAAAGGGCAATAGTCGGGAGAGTTGATGGTACCCATGAAGAATCCAATGAGCTAGAGGCCTATTTCCCCACCAAATGTCAAACCAAAATTTCATATGATTTCCTAGACGAGTGAATTCTGTTGTTCACTGTTTCTCATTTTGCACTTTAATTTCTTGTATTAGGACTGTAACTTAGTCCTCTTCCCCTCATTTTCATTGATAATGATATCAGCATTATGAAAGAAAAAAAAAAAGAAAAGAAAACCAACATTGATTAGTAATCACATTTCACCTGATCTTGATTTTTGCTTTAAAAGCAGAAACACATAATATGTGGACAATTAAGTAAACCGTTGGGGGCTTGAGAATATGGAAGTACAGGAAGGTATATGGCGTAAAAATGGTTTAGGGGGTTAATTAGAACACCCCCTCCCCTAAAGTACTGGGGGTATATGTAATTAATAGAACCTATATTAACAGTACTTATTCAGTGTTATTGATGGTAAATACATACTTCTTCAACAGAGACAATTTCGATCCTCCACAAGTCAATATATCAAGAGAAACGTCGGTTGCCCTTGTTGGAATTATATTAGTTCATGGTGTACACAGTTTGTAAGATTGTAAGAACGAGGAGCATTCCGGCAGCCAAGAACGAAATGAACGCCCACGGAGTGTTGAAATATTCTCTCCTCAAGATCAATATCCATTTCTGCAAGTGAGTCTGATGGTAAGCAAGCGCAACGTATTTGCACCGGCTTCTCCAATTGTATTCGTTTACATCTCGACAGAGATCCTGAAAATGCAAGCCCATGCAGAATGAGTTCACTTCTTTGCCAATTGCGTTAAAAAAGTTGACTATACTGCGACTGTCTCCTGCCGTGTTTCTGATGATGCCAAAGTTCTCGAGCACTTGCACATCCTCAGGGGACACAATCAGTCGATCCATCAGCATTACATAGTCTGCTATGTGCGTCTGAAAAGAATCCCCGTGATAGTACTTCTCAAAGGCGACAAGACTTTGGATAAGAGATTTGGTCATGTCATCAATGGTTATGCGTGGGATTCTCAGGACTCCATTATCAAAGCTTATACTCAACCAACGCTTGTTTCTAACACTCCTTAATGCAATTCCTGCATCAAAGAGCTTTCTTGCACTCGGAAAACGCTGAAGCTGTTTATCTAAATGTGAGTTTGATTTGCTTCTGTCTGTTGACGACAGCACAAAGAATTCCCGCACCAAGTCGAGCAGATGCTTTACTTCGCATCTCTCTTTCTTACGCGGTACTACGTTTGGCCAAAGACAGCTAAATGCACTGATGGCTAAGTCAAGAAACTGTGACTGATCAGCAGGAACATCTTCTAGTAGTTCAAATATCTTGTCCAGAACAAAGAATGGAAGTTGGTTTTCAAGTAGAACCATGTCAGACATTATATCAAGCATCCAGATGGTATTCAAAATGGGGTCGTCTTCCTGTCTGTATCGAACAGATCCATATCTGAGAAGGAACTCAACGATGAAGCAGCCATCAAGCAGCATCATCTTTACAAATTTCTCGCTATCTAAGGGGATGCCTTCTGCATAACACCTCCGGGCTCTATCTTCCAGCTCTGCAATGGCCTCTACGCAGTCTTTAATCCCTTTAGTTTTAGTGCTTCGACCTAAAAAATCTTTAAGATACCTCAGCTTATGCTCTTCTGAGCCTTTCAAGCTTTCATCTTCATGAAAAAAGGGACCAATTGAGACTAACTTAGGAGTACAAGCTACTTCTTTTAGCCTGCGTAGGTTCTTAGGAACTCTGAAGATGCAGCGTTCGGAGGAAAATTGATGCTGTTCACTCTCTGGACCCCTTAACATTCGTTCAATATCTGCCACCACTAAGGAAATATGGTGTTGCTTCACATTGGTTGCCTCTGGGGTGTGGTTACAATCAGCCATCTCAATTCTCAAACAGCTAACAAGCCCACTGACAAGATAAAGATATCCCGTTTTAGGCCAACAATTAGCAAATTTCTTTTTATTCACTATTACTAACAGAAGGAGCACGTACCATATACAGTTGTAATTTCAGAACATGGATAGAAATTAATTAGATAAACAATAATAGATATATAAGGATGTCAATGGAAATAAAATGAAGAGTTTAACCATTCAGGTAAAGGATAGATTCAGACAAGATAAAGAGGAGTGCAGTAAACATTGAGTTTGCCAGTGTATATAGATATCAAAATGACAAGACCTTATAAATCTTGTGCCCCTTTGTTTTATTCCTTAAGCGTATTTAATATATATACAGAAATTATTTTCCATCATATTACATGTTGTGAATAGTTTGTTGTTCCCTTCATTTGCTTGTTTCGATTATTTGTGCTCAAAGTCAGATTTTCCTGAGATGGGTATCACATACAGCTTCTGGTTGTATCCAAATGGATACTGAAGGCGGTGGTTAGCAAAAAGTATAAAAGAAAGAAACAGAAAAGATGGAGATAAAAAACATCAATATCTGTATCGTCAGGGGGATTAATATTTATAGACATGACAAGAAGAAGATTTCCATGAAAAAGATGCAACAATTATATTCCATGGCAGAGTTTTACGAATATCAGACTAAATGCAACATCTACCGATCAATCACCCTTTAATCATAACAGAAATTAAAGATATCCAAATTAACAGAAACAAAAATTGAAAAGCACCTTGTCAAGTCAACTTGTTCTTATTTGCTGCGCCAACAATTTACGATCACTCTCTTGTCGGAACAACAAAGCACTGGTCATAAAAGAGAACACAAATTAAGAAAGCTCTTCAATTCCCTAGTTCTATTTCTCAAGATACTCGAGGCAATATAATAATCCAGCAAGAAAGCTTTCTGCATTCCTTTAATGAAGGTACTTCAGGCAATATAAAAATCTAGCAAGAAAGCTCTTCCGTGTTTATTTTGGGAATGTGAAGGTACAAGGCAATACGAAGGTAAGAACTCAGAAAGTCTTACGAAGGAAAAAGGGTTGAGAAATCAGAAGTCTTCTTGGTCGTTTTGTTGATTTTTATTCATTTATTTCTACAGGTCCTTGTTGACTTGGTTTATTTTATTTATTGAATTGTTCTTTTTCCCGATTATTAGATTCATCTCTATATCACAGGCGTCGGCTTAATTTGAATGGTCATAACGAATAAATTTATACTTTGCAACCTATTTACTTCATCGACCTTTCATTCATCCAGATTAAGTGGAAAATGTTCAAGGGTATGGGCCCGTGATTGTTTATTCCAAAAATATTCCTAATGTTTTTTTTTATAAAAAATAAAATTGACCAAACAGAGTGGTTGCTTGTATCTTATTAGATGCAAAAATTGACCAAACAGAGTGGTTGCTTGTATCTTATTTCTAATGTCATCTAATACAAAGTTGATTTAGCAATCTCTTTTCTGAAATTGATTTATTTTTCAAATCTGCCTTTCATATCAATCGTTCAAATGTAAAGCTGCAATTTTAATTCTCTATTTTTGGACATTTTATGCCCCTTTTTTTAGAAGATTCTAAAAGAGGGATCTACTTGCAACTGTGTAAAAAAATTTAGGAGAGGTGATTACAATTACCAAACTTCAGTGAATGTTTCAGCAATAGCCTAAAACTTAAATGGAAGGTTTCATCAATTTACCCTTATTAATATTATTAAAGTTTTTAAGCAAACACTAATTGAGTGACACATGCAAACTATCTGTCATCCAGGTCAGCATTCATAGTTGCTTAAACATAGACCTGGCAAAAAGTTGACCCTACCCGCAAACCCAACCCAACCCAACCCGAAAAACCAGGGTTAGGGTCTCATATTTAGCTACCCAAATGCGAAAATGACTCGACCCGACCCAACCCGAAAAAAACTGGGTTGGGTTGGGTTGGGTTGGGTCATGGGTCAACCCGTTGACCCAATTGTCAAGTCTAATTGGGATTATTTATGCATTATTAGAATTTTCCACTCTTTAATTTTTTCAATTTAATCTTTACTTTTTATTGTTTACTCTTTAAATTGTTAAATGTTCAAGTTTTTTATTTTATATTTGAAATTTTGAGGTTAATTCTTTTCATTTTGACATTTTTCATGTATTTTTTTTTATTTTTTTTAATTTCAATTATTTATTGGATGACCCGAATTGACCCATGGGTCAACCCTAACCTGAACATTTAGGGTTAGGGTCTAGCATTTAACAACCCAACCCGAACCTGACCCACCCAACCCAATTGCCAGGTCTACTTAAACACAACACTATCTCTCATCCTCAATTATTGGGATGCAAATGACTCAAATCATTTTTTAATCAGGGTTTATTTGAATCCAATCCAACACTATTCATGCCCGATCCGTTCTGATCAGATCTAACAGGCAAGGATCTGAATTCAAATCTGATAGGGAAGTCGAATCTTTGGATCTGACCTGATCCGGTTTGTTTTCTTTAAACATTAAGAAATTATTAAAAGAAAAAATAAAATATACCAATTTAAATAAAGAAAAATAAAAAAATAGAAGTATTTTTTAATTATTTTCATTATATATATGTTTTTTATAAAAAATAAATAATATAACAAATTAACAAAAAAATATAAGTAATATATTTATAAATAAATAAATAAATAGCATATATTTATATAAATAAATGTATAATATATACTGGATTGAATAGAGGTGATCCAAATCCAATATGATTTCTGATTGGATCCTATTAATTGATCCGATCCAAAGATCTGAACAAAATGATCCAAATTCGACCAAATAGGATCGGGCACCCCTACTCAATTATAGCATAGACTACTTAAATTAAGAAAGATAATTAGTGTTTAAGGATTTACATTTTTTAAGCCATTTAAGGATTTACATTAGCATAACGTTGGATTCCCTTGTTGAATGAACTTCAATTCCAATGAACTAAGAATCCTATGAGACCTAAGCATCTAAGGGGAAAGTTCGTAAGATTAATCCAATAGAAGTTGATGAAATCCCTGATACACGGAGTTTTAATTGGATTTGGCATATGGTGAATTTATATTTAGAAGCGACTCATGGAGAGAAGAGCCCAATTCAGTGTTGTTCAATGGACTTTGGAGAGAAGAAAAACTGAAAAAAGAGTGAAAAGGAGAAGAAAACAATAAGAACAATGTTTCATTGTGCATAGGATCTGAACTGAATGATTCATTGCTTTGTCTTGGATAAAGTAATTAGGAAAATAAATAAACATTTGACGGAATTCAGCTTCAGACATTGTGGAGCTATCAAAACAATAAGAACAACTGTTAAGTTGCTTCTCAAGCTATTCGGTTTATCACATTCCTAGAAGAGCTAGCATGGTTGCACAAAAATTGGCTAACTTTGCTATTACTTTTACAAGAGTTAAAACTTGGTATCAAGCTCCTGATTTCCTCCTCAATTCCATTGTACAAGAGATGTAAACCGAGCTTGTTGATGAATGAATTTGCCCTATGGGGCCTTCTTAAAAAAAAAAAAAAAAAATTCAACCACTTAGCCATTATCAGATGACGCTTAGGAGTGTCATGAGTTTTTTTTTTTTACTGAGATATCTAAAGACTGAGAATGAATTTTCTGTAAGACCGCTTTCATCTAAAACAGAAAAAACACACATATATATATATATATATATATATATATATATATATATATATATATATATATTTTGTTTGAAGGTTAGAGGAAAAGTTTTATTTAAAAGAAAATATGAATAGAAAATAAGAGAAGGCAGCAGGGTAGGGGCAGAGGCGGATTTAGCTTAATACCATACCCCCACCAGTACAATCTCAAAACCCAAAAGAAATTGCCATTCCTAAGGATACACCAAATCCAAAACCCACTAGCCACCTACAACCAAATGCTACACATGGCAAAAACAAACTGACACACCACAAAACTAAATGAATATCAAGGATGAAAGGTAAACCAAGTACACAATGCATTACGTGGGAGGAGTAAGGGTGAGCAAATGAGTCAATTCTACCCAAAACTAAATGGAATGACCTTGAATTGGCCTCAAACCCACCTTACCCAATGTGTTACTAGGTAGGGTCTAATTCTACTCTTGGAAATGACCCCACCTAGGTTGGTTCCAAGGTTTGGGGGCTTACCTTACATGAGCATGTTAGATTGATCACATTGATGGCCATGTTGTTGGAAATTAAAACACACTTATTGGACTATAAGATAATCGAAGATATTTGTAACATTTAGTGGCATCAAATTCCTTGATGGATAGACCTTTTGATTACCACAAAAACATCTATAAATAAGGACAGTCACCACTCGGTGCAGTTGTCTCTCAGCCATTAATTTGTTTCCCATCACCTCGGTGGTTTAGAGTCAAGTGGAGAATCGTTGAAGAAAGATGAGACAAACTAAGCGAAGTTTGCAAGTTCACAACCAAGTGAAAGGTCTGTGCCTAGTTTTTTATTTAAATTCATTAAATACTAGCTAAGAACATTTGGTGGGCCAATTTCCAGTTATATTCTTCAAAACCAGTATTAGAACATGGTTCTGAAATGTTTAAAAAACACAGTTTTTGTTTTTCGGCGACTTGGCCAGATTCTGGTAAAATATCAGTTGAGGATTTCCAAGTGATCACCAACCATTTTTTACCACTTCCATCCACCAGTCGGCTTCTAATAGATCGAAAATGGAGGGTCTAAAATTGGCCAAATGATTTGGGTTGCACTAAACCTGATTCTGAAACTAGGGCGAAGAAGACGATCTATTCGGGTCGAATTTGACCCGTTTTCAGTGAACTTGTACCATTATTTTAAAAGGCCCTCAAGGCGAGCCCAAAGCCCTAAGCCTCGAGGCGAGGCTAAGAAAAAGGGCCTGGCCCCTTCAGGCCTTTGGCCTCAAAATTTCTAAGGCTTGGGCCTCAATTATTGGCATGCTAATGTTGAATATGAAGGCTTATATAAGGGTAAAACAGAAATTTAAGACAAAAAAAGAATGCCTTATTTTGTATATATTGGCGTATTGAACAAATAAATAAACATACAAAAAAAAGAATGCCTTGTGTGTGTAAAAGAATATTGTTTATACTTTATTCTATTCTACTTGCCCAATTACCCCATATTTGATAATCTATTTCTTGTAAAGCATATGCCTCAACCAAATAAGAATGCCTTGCTCTTAAAACACTATTATTGTTTTATATCCTTGAATATTAGAGTTCAATTTATATGCTTTTATTCTTTTTAGATTTTAGGGA